TCAATAGCATAGGCCACCTTGATGATAGAGGAGACCCATTGGTCAGTGGTGATCCAACACCAAACTGGTAGAAATGGTGCCAGAGGAGGTATCAGATCTGATGGGAAAAACATACAGAGGAGTGGGGTTGAATGATGGGGGAAGTCAAAGGCTCTGCTTAAGCTTGCGATCCTGGAGCTTGGAGGACAAAGTTGGTCTGTACTTCTGACTGTAGGGTTTTTTTTGTATGTCAAAGAAGAGGTTACGGACTAGTAGTAGGAGGTCAAAGAAGTAGTAGTATGAGGTCAAAGAACCTCTGACAGGCTTGAGAAGGCTTGTAGGAGGTGACAGAGGTGGATCTTCTCCATGATTGACAATAATAATGCTGGTAGTACTGTGAGCACTACCCAAGCATTTTGCAGTAGTTCTCTTTTTGTGTAAGTTATCCATGACATCCTTGCTTTTTTTTTCATTGAAAAGTCCCTTTCCAGCAAATGAGAGGGCTTTTATTGTGGATCTTGTATCATCCGAGTGGCCTGCGAAGCAAAGCCAGGCATGACATTCAAGAGAAACCGCTATTGAGATAGCTTTTGCCACACAGTCTGTAGCATGTTGAGCAGAAGGCATATGCTGAGCTGCAAGGACCGTGGATTCTTGGTAAACGGTGATGGCCACAAGCTGCTTCTTGTTGGATATGGTGTCAAGAAGTGGTTATATTGGTGGAACATCTTCCAGACCTTGAGGGGAAAAAAACATCAAGCAATCATCCATAAGCCGCTAAATACTGGGATAGCCAGTGTTGGTTCTAATTCACTTTGGGTGAAGCAACCAGATTAAAACATACTTCTTCCTCAAAGGCAGTGGAAATATGGTTTGGGATTACTGGCAAACCGTGCAGTATCAGAAGGACTAGACAAGCCACAAATGCTTTGCTAAGGACTTTAATTGTTATGAAGCCTGCATTAAACTGAATGAAATTTCCAACAGTCTGTCCTGGCAGTTGTACAACCAGGGTATTTTTCCTGTCTGTCCTGTGGTTAAAAATGTGAAACCTCAGAAAATAAATCCTAAATCAACATGACCAAGGTGGATAGAAGACGTGAAGATGCAAAGCCAGATGTCCCAGTAGGTTCTTCCGGGGGTGATCCGGGGGAATTCAGTGGGGACGTCTGTAGAGTCCTGCGTGGAGAGACTGGGGAAATGATGATGATCTGGAGGCGTAGAAGAACTTTTAAACTGGGTAGGGAGGTGGGGGCATCTGTGGGAAGTTTGGAGCTGGAAGGCAGGCAGTGGGGCCCCATTTGCTGTGGGGTCCTGCTGGCTGCCCCCCTGACTGATGTTATGCCTCTAATTCCACTGGGAATCGCTTCCCCCACCCTTTCCCCTGAGGAGACCAGCAAGACCAGCAAGGACTTGTCAGCTAACCGACTTGTTTGGAAAATAGCTACAGCGCCATTTTATTTTCCAACTTTCCTGATGCTGCTTCTCTCTCTGCTTATCATTGAAACTCGTTTTAAACTTAAGATCAGACTCACAGGTGTTTTAAACATTCTTGGAAAGACAAGATTGTCAGACAGACCAGGATAGAACAGGACTGTGAGTGTGGGAAGAAAAACTGGTGCATTTAAATTTTTGTTTATTACTTCATTGCACTGAATGGGGGGGGGGATTTTCTGGGCTTAATTTTTGCTTCTTTTTATATATATTTTTCTATTTTGTACTGTTTATTTTATTTTATTTTAATTTATGGATATTTTATTTTTACTTTATGTTAAATTGTTTAGTCGTACAGTATTTACTTTGTCTATTTTAATACTTACAGCTTTATGCACTCTTTCTGTATTTTATGCACTTTAAATTTAATTTGATTATAGTTACTGTTTATTGTTTAGTGTAATATTTCCTGTTACACATGTTTGGTACTTTTTTGTTAAACTTTCTGTTTAGCTGGTGCTTTCTTTCTGCTTTTTTCTTGCTGTTCGTTATGGAGTGGAAGGCTTGTCCTCCCAGCAAGGGGCCATTGAACATCCGGGTGATTACGGGTAGAGGGAGATATGGTGTTGGCAGGGCCCCTACTTGTGTCAGAAGAACGGTGAACAGATGTTTGAAAGCTGTACACTGTTCTGGGACTCTGACCAACCATCAGTATCGAGGTAGCCAGTTTAGCCTACCCTCCACTCTAAAATTGGTGCTGTTGAATGCCAGGTCTGTATCCAATAAATTCCAGCTTATTTATGATCTTACTCTTGAAGAGGATGCAGACCTGGTGTGCATAACCGAAACTTGGATTAGTGGGGAAGGGGGTCCTCCCGGTTATGCTGTCCAGCATCAGGGTAGACTTGCGGGATGGGGGGGAGTGGCCATTGTATATAAAAACAATCCGGAGGTTACTAGGCGCTCTGCTGTAGTAAAGCCAGGTCTAGAGGCCCTCCACATGTCGATAGGGGCCAGGGATGGTATTGGGATTTTGTTGGGTTACTGTGCTCCCCGCGACCCAGCCATCTCACCATGGAAACTCAGGTGGCGTCAGAGGTCCGCACTGCCTATTTCCATCTTTGGCGGATTGCCCGGCTGTGTCCCTTTCTTGATGTTGGTGCACTCACCACCTTGGTCCATGCGCTCGTAATCTCAAGATTAGACCACTGTAATGCACCCTACGTGGGGCTGCCTTTGAGATTAATGTGGAAACTATAAATGGGGCAGAATGCAGTGGCTAGACTTCTTAGTGGGGTGAAGAAATATCAACATATTACTCCCACTCTGGCCGCATTGTATTGGCTGCCCATTCGATTCCGCATTGATTTCAAAGTTCTAATGATCACATACAAAGCCCTAAACAGTTTAGGACCTCAATACTTGGTGGAACACCTCCTCCCACTTAGATCTACCCGTATCACCCGATCTAGCCAGGAGGGGCGACTGAGGAGCCTAACACCGAGGGAGGCCCGGAAAGAAAAAACAAGACACTGGGCCTTCTCGGCAGTGGCTCCCAGGCTTTGGAACATGCTCCACCCCGAGATTCGTCTGGCCCCCTCGCTGGGCATTTTCAAAAACCAACTCAAGACCTGGTTATATAGACAGGCCTTCCCTCCAGACTCCACGTAATTCTCTTTCTCTCTTTATCTATTCTGTTTTGAGTTAATGTCGGGAACCATTACCTTATATTGATTGTTTTTATTACGTGTTTCTGAGCCACCCAGAGTAGATTATGTCTAAATGGGCGGCATATAAGTTTGTTCAATCAATCAATCAATCAATCAATCAATCAATCAATCAATCAATCAATCAATCAGTCAGTCAGTCAGTCAGTCAGTCAGTCAGTCAATCAATCAATCAATCAATAAAGAGGCAGCCAGTCAACAGAGTCACACTAATACTCAAATTATAGGGTCTTGTTTTTCTCCAAATTCAAATAGCTTAACTCTACACTTGTTTCCATTGACCCAATGAAGGAGTTAAAACAAATAGGGAAGTCCTCATCAAAGAATGAACCCAGTGAACATTATATGCATTTCTAGTTATGAATGGCATGAATCTGTCCACAATTCCAAGGACCTACCAATGAATTTTCAACATTGAGCCTGAAATGTACTGAATTAGGAATGCAGGTGTATCTCCACAGTCTTAAACTGCTTATCGGGAACTTGAATGCCCGAGGGGCGTCAACTGCATGACTAATTCTTTGTTCTGGTTCTGCAAATGCAGCACTAAAAATTATGCAGGAAATCAGTCTTTATGCAACTTGCCATAAACATTACTTAAAATAGACCTTGGCTTGACTATGCCTGTGTGGCTCTCTGAAATAAATAGAAGCCTCCTGGCCACTGGAAATCCAGCTGAGCAAGAATCAAGATTCACTTCAGTTTTGGTGAGTGGAAGTGACACCTGGAGCTAGAATGAGAGCCAAGCATCTCGTGTTCTTTTGGGTGCTGTGCCTTGCCTGTCATATTACGGTTGCAGGTAAGTACTCTTGTGTTTTCCATTGCCATCCTTTCCCTTAGTTTGACATTAATCCTGGAAACTTTTCTGTTTCATGCTGCTAGCATGCTGCTTTTCTCCATGGATCTCAGAGAAGCATCCACGCTCACAACCATCTTGTGAGGAAGACAGAACTGGAGAGCTTGTAACTCAGAACCATAATTAGACATCTTATAACCTCTTAAGAAAGTTCTGCTTCTAATGGTGTTTCCAATGGTGTGTTAACTGTCCTGTTTAGTTCTGCCCTGATCTTCCGTCTTCCACCTTAGCCACTGCATCACTCTGAAGTCATACTTGAACCTAGTCAAGAGCTCATCATAGGCATCCTTCAGTCTCCAGAGACTATGGTAACATGCTCTAAATCGAGGAGAGTCCTCTCCAGAGCACGAAGCCTGGGTAAAGTAATATGGAGGATAGGCTGTTACCCAAGCAGCAAATCCCCCCTCTCCACGTTGCGGAAATGGTCCAATGGAAAGGCAAGAGCCAATACAACTGGTTCCAGCAACGTCGCAGGAGTTGGCAGAACGACACGAGCTGCCTTCGGGACTCCAGCTCCGGATTTTGCCTTGAGGTTAACTCCTGAAGCCTTTTCCATGAATGGATATAGCCACCAGGCAGTGGAGGTTTGAAATCAGAGTTTTCCTTCTCCTAGATGGGCTGCCTTCCATGGCTGACGAGCCCCACCTACACGGCTAGCATGCTGCTTTTCTCCATGGATCTCAGAGAAGCATCCACGCTCACAACCATCTTGTGAGGTAGACAGAACTGGAGAGCTTGTAACTTGCCCAGAACCATAATTAGACATCTTATAACCTCTTAAGAAAGGTCTGCTTCCAATGGTGTGTTAACTGTCCAGTCTAGTTCTGCCCTGAGCTTCCATCTTCCACCTTATCCACTGTTCCACTTTGAAGTCATATTTGCACCACAAGCTTTAAATCCTATTCTTTTCTGACCTTTCTATTCTATTAGTGGTCCTGCTTAGGGATCAAGAGTAATTTGCTGAGGGGGTGAAAGAGGAAGTATAAAGCCTGGGCTCCTCTTGTGTCTTTGACACAGGGGGTGTGCAGCCAAGATGCAATCAAGGATGGGGGCATGGAGGAATGCTGGGTGCAGACAGGAGTGTGGGAACATTCCAGCACAAAAAACATCTAAGCTGTAGGTTTGGAAAAGAGTTATTTCCACAAATAACCTTTCACAGTGCACATAAGGAAAATAGAACATTGTGCTTGATTCACCCATCTAGACAAGCTCTTAGCCTAGGGTTGAAGGGACACTTCAGGTATATGGGCCTCCCTCCATTCTCTGTTATGCAGTGCCCCAGATATTGTTGACTTTAACTCACATCAGCCAATGCCAGTAAAGCTGTCAAGTCGATTCTAAATCATGGCCACCCTTTCCTGGGTTTTCTAGGTACAGAATACTCAGGACCAGTTTGTCATTCCCTTTTTCGGGGTGGTGGTGTTCTTGTACCATATCGCTTGGCCGAGGCCATACATGTTCGCTTCTCTACTACAAGGCATGAATTGAATTCCTAGCCTCCGGCACTGCAGCCAGCTACAGTGGACCCTCTACTTACGGAATTAATCCATATTGGAACGGTGGCTGCAGGTTGAAAAGTTTATAGGTCGAGGGTCCATTGACCTACAATGCATTGAAAACCGATTAATGCCGTAACCGGCTGTTTTTGTTCCATTTTTGTTCCATTTTGGTTTTTTTCTGGTCTGTAGGTTGATTCTCAGGCTGCAAGTCAAACCTAAATTTTGTGGCCAGAGGTCTGTAAGTCGAGCCATCTGTAAGTCGAGCCGTCTGTAAGTCGAGGGTCCACTGTACGTAACTCAGGGTATGACTGCATTGACAAATAATGTGGGAAAAGCTCCAGGATTAGGATGGTCTGATTCACATACTTTTCTATTTACTAGTAAAATTAAAGGTTCCCCTTGACAATTTTTTGTCCAGTCGTGTTCAACTCTAGGGGCGGTGCTCATCCCTGCTTCCAAGCCATAGAGCCAGCGTTTTGTCTGAAGACAATATTCTGTGGTCACATGGCCAGTGCGACTTAGACACGGAACGCTGTTACCTTCCCATCGAGGCGGTCCCAGGGTTGGCAGGAGCTGGGACAAGTGACGGGCACTCACTCCATCATGTGGATTCGATCTTACGACTGCTTGGTCTTCTGACCCTGCAGCACAGGTTTCTGCGGTTTAGCTCACAGCGCCACCATGTCGGAGGCTGCCACCAACGTACCTATTTTTCCCTCTTCCACTGGGGCTTCTACTTCACATTGGTTCAGGCTGAATTGACATGGAAGGGTTTGTTGCCATTTTATTTTATGCCATTGTGCCTGATTGCAGTACCAGGAAGAGAGGTGGGGCAGCAGAGAAACTGGCTTGCCATGTGAATCCTTTCCATCCCACACCTGGTACCTAGGACTTGCTGTCCTAACACAGTGGAGCAGCTGGCTGACCAGAGGGGGGGAAAAGAGGGAAGAAAATTTTAAAGCAGCTCTGCTGTACTTGCACCTCTTACCTTAAGAAGCTGAAACAAGGCTGAAGGAAAGCTTTCTTCTGTCTGCCGACTCCTTGGCTCTTTCCTCCCCTCCCTTTGGTCAGCCAGTTGGCCTACAGCTAGAACATCAAGTCTTTAAAAGAAAGAAAGAAAATGGAGGGGAAGAGGGAAAAGAAGCAGAACCAGGCACCAGGTGCGGGGAGAAAAAGGATTCCAATGGTTAGCAAGCTGCAAACAAGGTTGGTTTCCTCCCTTCTCTTTGGTGACTCCTATCTAGTTGATAGAAGTAAATTAACTCATGGATGCCTGACTTCCCAGATCCCTCTTCCTAGGATACTTTTTGCACTTTTCCCTGCTGTGTTGTTAACCTTGACTGAGCTATACAGCCAGCCAAAATCTTCTTAGTTGAACAAAGTCAACATACATCTCTACAATCTTCTTGTCACGATTGCATGTAGGTCCCCTATATCCACAGATCGGTTCCAAGCATCGGTTCCCATGGACACAGTGGTTGTACCATAATTCCTTTCCATCTTTATCCTCCCTCTAAACTTTCAGCTGAAGATTCCACTGGTCTTTTTTCTTTTCTTTTTTTTTCTTTTCTTCAGGCACAAAACTCACTAGAAAATTGTTTTGAAACTGGGCTGTAAAACCCAAATGCTGTAACATGGGGAACCATGTGCTCCTATTGTATGTGATTGCATGTGATCCCACTCTTTGGAATATATTGACTCTATCCGTGTCTCACTCCTGTCTGGAACCCTACAGACATTTTTGAGCCGGTGCATCTAGGCTGCAAGTGCCTAAGAGTGACGTCCCAATTCATCCGTCTTGCAAAATATGAAAGAGTAGAAATTTTTCCCGCTGGACTTGCCTGCAAAAAGATGGAAATCATGTAAGTGATTTATAGTGCTGAAGGTTTGATTTTTTTGTGAAGGAAGCCACTGAAGTGCAATTAGGGTTTTGTAATAATGGACTTAATTCACAAATACACAGGTTGAGAATCGATAAGAGACACAGTATTATCATCTCATTAAATGTCCCAAATCTTCCCCCTTGTTTGTTTAATGCAATCAGAATAGCATTTTTTAAAATCACAAAATACCCCCCCCCAAAAAAAGGAAGTTTGTTTCTTGCGAGAAACAAAAGAAGCAAATTGGTGCCAATATAGGGTTTCCTCCTTATTTTTCTTTCATTCACCATGCAAAGAATGGTTGATTTTGAAATAAGAAATGGTTGGGAGGTTTTAAACTTTATCCAGATCTCAACCATTTCTGGATTCTATATTTGTTTGATCATTTTTACAGTTAGCATACTCGCCATTGTTAGCTTTAATAGTATTGTCTTTTAATTATGTCAGCTACCTTGGTTCCTTTTAAGGAGAAAGACCGGGTAAAATATTTTAGATACATGAAATAAATAAATACCCTCTAGCTGTCATCTTGATCCAGTTTGGGACTGTGCTGGGGGTTGGAAGTTTTGCGTTTCCTTTGAAGTAATGTCATGAATGATGTTTTTAATCTTTTAAAAGATAGACCAGGAAGAGATTTATAACTCATGGGCATGAATAATAATTATTTGTTACTCCTAAACTAGCAGTTATGTGGGGATAACGTAGTAGAGTATGGGATCAGCTGCGTTGCTTAACTCATCAGTTATGAACAATTAAAGAAAATAAATTCTCAAGCTTATTAAGACTAGTCAGAGTACTGTATTAACTCTTTTGAATACGGTAGAGTTTGTTGGGGCCTCACAGGTACTGCATGATCCTGGAAGCAGTTCATATTTGTGTAGGGTGGGAAATCAGGACCTGTAACACCCCAAACCAGACATGTCATCCACCTCATCAAAACAGCCTTTCCCAGCAATTATTCTTGAGTTGCCCTGTTTAGTCTGTGCTCTGAGCAACTTTGCTGGCTTGGAAACCATGACTTCTTCAAATGTTCTTGTTTTACAGAATCACGCTAAAGGATGGAGCCAAAGTATGTGTTTCTCCGACGGCTAGATGGGTGCAGAATTTGCTGCGGATGCTGCACGAAAGGTAAATTCATCAATACCTTTTTCCTTTGCTTCTTATATTTGAATCAAACACTGGTCTGTCTAGCATACCCAGCTACCACCATCTAACTAAAGGTTGTGTCTACAGTTGGCACATGGAAATTCAATGTATTTCTCATCGAATGCACAACTACAGCTAATCACAAATAAGCGCACCCTTGCTTTTTGTTCAGTCAGTGAGTGCTGATACCTTTTTTTCTGAAGTGATCCTGCTTTCAGTGCTTTTTGTTTAAATTTATGGCATGCGGGATTGTCTATACCAATTCAAAGTGATGGATATGTCCAAGAATAATGCTGACAGTGGAGTGTCTCTTTTTTTAAAGTCAAGTGACAGTTTGGCTGAATTGCTTTAACAACTTGTAAAACAAATTAGAAAAGCATAATTTTAGAGGAGGCGAGGCTTTGTTGCAGCGCTGCCCCTAACTCCACAGAAGTGCTCTCTGGAAAAAACTGGAACCATCCAGTCTGGGATCCCCCTTTTGAAATGGAGATCGAAGGAGAGTCTAGCAAAAGTCTCTCTGAAGCAGGTGGTGAGCGGCAGAAGGAGAAGAATGGGAGGCAGGCCCGGACTTCTTCCCTCTGAAGAAATCACTGTGCACAGACCAGAGCGGGTGCCATTTTTGGCACTGAGCCACGAGGAACCCTTTACCGGGGGAGAGGAGAGCAATCAATATAAACCAATAATATATAACAAGTGAGTAAGCTGGGCTAGCAAGCAGAGCGATGCTGACACCAAGGGCTTGAAGGGAGGCCTCATAATCTGCTGAAGAAGTAATTGGAGAGACCACTGAGGTATTAGTGGTCTATAGGCAGGGCACATATTCTCCAGGCCTTGGAGAAATAGCTTGCATGTAGAATGGACCAGTTCCAGGTGAAACAGGTGATTTATGAAACAGCCTCATTAAGCTGAAAATAAGGATGAAAATATTTGGCTGAAAGAAGAAAAGCAGCGGCGAGCTTATCTTATCAGTCTGACTCAAAAGCGAAACCAAAGCTTCTCCAAGTGAACTCTTAAAACAACAGGCTGATTCCAAAGCCAAGAGAGTGAGACGGAAAAATAAACCTTATGTTTCTGGAAAAGAATCCCAGATAGTAACACCATCTGACTGTATTTAAGAGACTTGAGTGTGGTGAATGCAGTTTGGCCGGGACACGTTTCTCTTCGCCTTTCCCTGGATTTTGTGAACTGTAAAGAATAGAATTTGGTGGTTCTCGGGAGAAGAAGGGAGCTGACGTGGTCAACTAGACTAAGGAGTATCGAGGGGTTAATGAAGATTGCAAGACGGGCTTCAAAGACAACTACTGGACAGTTTGAGACTTGGTGATTGTTGTTTTGTCTGTCGGATTGTGGACTGCATGTTAAGGGGTGATTATTGTAGTTAAGGGTATAGTACTATTTATACAAACCCCAAAGCTGGAGATGGACTCCAGAAATGCAAGAGAACAAATGGAGACTGGGTCTGTTCAATCCCAAGGTTTTGGAACAGTGGTACAAGAAATAGAAAAGGAATGGCAGATCAATATGCAAAGGATAATAATAATAGGGTTTCAGCAAGTGAATGAAAGTCTTAGCAAAATAGAAGATTTGATGAAAGGGATGAAAGAGGGGACAGTAGATGCCAAACAAAACTTAAATGAAGCTGTACAAACTTTAGAACCATCTGTATTAGGCATGACTCTAGGTAACGTAAATGGGATAGAGAGTTACCCAGTGACCTATGCAGGCTTCCAAAATTAAAAAGCATTATGTCAAAAATCTCAAGGAAGCAGAGATACTGAAACCAGAGAATCTTATGGTGAAAATATGGGAAGTGAAAAAAATGGATATTCTGTCAGATGGGCTGAAATACTGTTTAATTCAAAAGGAAACTGAACAATGGGATGTATGGTATAAATTGCAACAGCTACCAGACAGTGTTGGAGTAACATAGAATAAAACTAAAATTAAATGATAAGATAAAAGCAGGAAGGTAATCAAACGGTGAAAAAGCAAAAAGTTGATTTGTATTTGTAACATAAATTAATCGGATGGTGGTATATTTTATGTTCTCCTATCCACCAAACCCTTTCCCCCCTTTCCCTATTCCCCCTTACTTTTTGTATTCTCCATCCGTGTTCTTAAATAAATACTTTTTTTCAAAAAAGCATAATTTTAAAAAAATTCAGAGAAAAAATGAGGATCTCCTTTGACTGGGTTGTTTCTGTTGTACCGGCATATTATGCTGCACTGAAAGGTATACCAGTACAGCCAGAACATCCCACTCAAGGGAGCTCCTCCCAATTTTCTCTAAACAGTTTTTAAAATTATGCTTGTCCAATTTAGCACTATGTCAGATAAGCAGTGCCGCTTAAGAAGCTGTTCCGTCAACTCAGCACTATGTCACTGTTTTTTTTTTTTTTTAATAATCTTTGTTGGGTGATGCTAAGAGGAAAGAAGAGGGTGGAAAACTTGTGATCCCAGTGAGTATTGTATTAGTTTGAAGTGCGATGTGGACTGTTGCCCCTTACATTATCTGTGAAAATGAAACAGTTCTTGTGAATGAGAAGAGCAATTTAACTGCCATAGGGGCTTTAAATCAACTTGAATCTATCTGCGACAGCCTCCCTGTCCAGTTGCATCCTTTAAGGGTTAGGACAGTGGCAGATCCTGTGAATCACGGCAGGTCAGGGGCTCCCAAACTGTGTGCCGTGGCTCCAAGGGGTGCTGTAAAACTCAGACAGGGGTGCCATGGGAAAAGGGATGGAACATAGAGCTATGAAGGATATAGAGATGCTGTTCATAGATCTATGAGCAGCCTAGCTTTCATAGCTCCATGTCTAACAGGAACTGGAAGTGGAGGCCATGTGCCTTCCTCTCCTTTCCCTATCTTTATGGTCCTCAATGGAAGTGCTTGATAGATAGCCTTGGGAGTTTTCTGGGTCAGAACATGGAAGGAGTTAGGCCCTTGGGAGGGGGTGGGGATGGGACGGCTGATGCGTGTTATGTGTGTGTGTGTCAAGATCCATCTCCTGGTAGGATAGAGAGCCCTGATGGGCCCTCCAAGCCAGGGGAGCTATGGCCAGTGTTCAGAAAATGAAGGGATTTGTAAGGCCAAAATGTTTGGGAACCACTGCTCTTAGGTTTGAGTGTGGTCCTTATGGTAGTTCATGGTACTGAAACTATTTTGGCATAGCATTTAGTACCTTGAGCAGCTCCTTTGAAGGGTTTATTCTAGTAGATGTAAAAAAAAAAGTGTATTTTCACTTTCCCTGACCCTCTGCAGATGATCAGGGGAAGCATTTAATTGACACAAAAAGATCAATATGCCATTATGCCAAATGGCACAACACTCCTCCTCGACCACAACTAACCCTTTGCAGGCTGATTCTGCTGGCACCAAAGCGGTCAGCCAGGCCAGACCCTAGTGTAGCCACTAGTCACACTGGCTCAGGGGATTCTGGAAACTGTAGTCCAAAATGGGAGCATTTCAAACCTCTCTCCGCAGCCAGAATGACAACCATACAAACTCTTTGAAGTGTAGGTTACTGACACTTGTTCTTCTGGTGTGCTGGTTCTGTGAAATGCAGTGAGGCTGGTAGGTTTTTAATTCCCTTCCCGAGCCCAATCATAGTTGAAAAGTAGAAAGAGAGGATTGCTGTTGTTGCTGAAATGAGCTTGAGTGAAAACTCTTGAATCCTTTTTTGCTCAAAGGAATTCTTTATCTGTGCTGGTAACATAATTATAAATACCCACAACAGTGCTGACAGAACACCGTTTAATCTAAAATGTTCTTAAATAAGTACTCTGTATACCCTTCAGTGTTGTTATTAGAACTTTGGAGAAAGATGCCCGAATTTCTGCACAGCAACGAATAATTCCACATTTATTTTAATATGAATAACTGATGTTGTTCCCAAGCCTTTCAGTACTTTTTTTTAATGATTGAAGTATTTTTACTCTGAAGACACCTCTGCATGCTCACTGTTTCCTTTTTATTCACTGCAGACAATGAAAACATGGACCCAGGAAAATTAATGAGAAACTGAAAGCATGGAAGAAATCATCCTAATCTGCCACTTTCAGTTTGCCTTCTAATCTTATAGTTCCCTCTACACGAAACAGCAGTTTACAGCCATCGTAACCCTTTGGAGGTTCAGAACGATGGGCGTCAGCAAGTGACTTTATGCTTTTAGGATAACACATGGCATCGGCATTGTAAAATTCTCTTTTAAAAAGCTTGGCATGTCTGGCAAACCAGCTATTAATGATATTAATTATAAACAGCCAATGATTTCTCAGGTACCTATAGATGTTATAGCAAAGCTGTCAAATACACCTTGAATCATTTGAGTTGTACTTCTGCTTTTAAATGAGCCACTTTCTAATTCTCATGTTTTAACATATTACACACTACCTTCCTTCTGGTTCCACCATGTTTTTCCCCAGTAATAGGATCTTTCATGGTGTTTACTCCCACAGCCTATACAGTATTTATTTATGAATGTAGGAACTGCTTTGATGGGTCAATAGGGAAGTATAGTATTTCAAAGTCCAGCTTTCTGTCTTTAAAACAAGCACCAGTTGTCTTGTGGGAAGAGACAAAGAAATAGTTAAAGGACGGTCAAGCCTATTCTGACGAGGTGGTTTGGATCTAAATCATTGGACTGTGTCACATATGCTGGTAAGGAACTCCCCATGTTAAAAAAGAATTGTCTTCTCAAACTCTCATGCACAAGGAGCCTTATATGGGGTGGGGTCATGTTAAAAAAGAATTGTCTTCTCAAACTGTCATGTACATAGAGCCTTATATGGGGTAGCAAAGCATGCTGCTTATATACTGCCCCATAGTGCTTCAAACACTATCTAGGCAGCTTACAAGTTAAGTACTCAAGCTACACATTGTCCCCCATACTCATTTTACCAACCTCAAAAGGATAGAAGGCTGAGTCAACCTTGAGATTGAACACCTGGGATTGAACCCCAGGTCGTGAGCAGTTTTGGCTGCAGCACAGCAGTTTAACCACTGCGCCACAAGCCTGGTTTGCAATTGCCATGTTGTCCACTGAGGCCTACAACGCTGCCGCGCTCTCCTCATTGCTTGGGTTGATTAGCAACATGCTCTTTAACCCTCTATTCACGCCATGCACAGAGGAACAGAGTCTGAGCTGTGTGAGAACAGAACAGAGGCAGGTGTTTCCTAGCCTGACAGATCACACAGTGGCCAAACAATTTCCTGTGCAATGTCCATCCTTGGCTGTGGCAATTCTCTGTCTTGCGTTGCCTGCCAACGTTGTACTGTAAACAAAGGCCTCTGCTACTAGACATAACATACAACACCCTGGTCGACCATACCGCCCTGAACTCCCTTGATCCCACCTGGGGTTGGAAGTGAAGCAGGTTAAGGACTGGCTAAGGTCCGTGTGGGAGGCTACCAAAGAATACCAGGGACCTGCTTGGAATCCTGGGGAGCTGGTGCCAGACAAAGCTGGCCTTGATTAGTGGTTCACAATCCTGGGTAATCCAGGTGTTCTTGGACTGCAATTCCCAGAAACCTTCACCACTAGCTGTGTTGGAACTTTATGGAAGTTGCAATCCAAGACCCTTCCGCGAAACGGTAGGAAGAACAACCTTCAGAACACAGCCAAAGAGCCCAAAAAACCCACAACAACCTATCCAAGAACACTTGGGCACCCCCAGGTTGGGAACCATTGCTCTTGATGAATCAATGAACTAATTCTGTACAAGGTTGTGCTCTACATTCCACCATGATGGGAACACTCACCTACCTGGGAAGCTGGCAAAGCCCTATTTTTTGACATCTTCATTGATCACTATTGTGTCCTCTTGGCTTGTGTGCAGAAACGTTAATCAAGGGTACAAATGAAAAATGGTGCTGTGCTAAATAGTTTACACACTGAAAGAGAAAAGGCAAAAACATGTTTGGCTCCATCTCAGCCAAAATGGTTAAGATGGTCACCAGTTGATTTCAATTTAATCCAATCAAGCTGCTTGCAACCCACTCAACAGATTTCTGATGCTCTGAGAAGCAGTGAAACAAAGGTTTTATAATTAGCAGTCAAGAACTGGTTGTAGTAAGGATTTGGGAACAAAAACAAATGGCTTTTCCCACCAAGCAAAACACTTGTTGAGATGCTGTTGGGGGTCCTGATCAAAGAAAGAGAAGAAATAAAGAGGTAGCTTTTCAAGGCAGGAATAGCACCATGAATTATTGTTGAGTCCAGCATTTCTCCCCATTTGCCACACACGGTCAACCAACAATGAACATGAATATTTTCTTCTTAAAATGCATTTACACACATGCACACCCTTCTTATAACACCAGTTAACAACATGTATTATAAAAGTGGTTTGCAAAAGCTTGTTAAGGCAATGCTGTTGAGAATTAAACAGGGAGAAGCAAATGATTCCAAGTATGGTTGTTTAGGTTTTTCGCGCTGTCTGGCCCTGTTTATGCGTTTTTTCTTCCTAACGTTTCGCCAGTCTCTGTGGCTGGCATCTTCAGAAGACAAGAGCTAGAACTTTGCCTATGTTCTAATTCCTGTCCTCTGAAGATGCTGGCCACAGAGACTGGAGAAACATCAGGAAAAAAAACCCTCCAGAACATGGCCAAACAGCCTGGAAAATCTACAACAACCATCGGATCCCGGCTGTTTGCCAAGAATCCGCGGTCCTTGCAGCTCAGCATATGCATTCTGATCAACATGCTACAGAGTGTGTGGCAAAAGCTATCTCAATAGTGGTCTCTCTTGAATGTCATGCCTGGCTTTGCTTCGCAGGCCACTCGGATGATACAAGATCCACAATAAAAGCCCTCTCATTTGCTGGAAAGGGACTTTTCAATGAAAAAAACCCAATGATGTAATGGATAACTTACACAAAAAGAGAACTACTGCAAAATGCTTGGGTAGTACTCACAGTACTACCAGCATTATTATTGTCAATCATGGAGAAGATCCACCTCTGTCACCTCCTACAAGCCTTCTCAAGCCTGTCAGAGGTTCTTTGACCTCATACTACTACTTCTTTGACCTCCTACTACTAGTCTTTGACCTCTTCTTTGACATACAAAAAAACCCCTACAGTCAGAAGTACAGACCAACTTTGTCCTCCAAGCTCCAGGATCGCAAGCTTAAGCAGAGCCTTTGACTTCCCCCATCATTCAACCCCACTCCTCTGTATGTTTTTCCCATCAGATCTGATACCTCCTCTGGCACCATTTCTACCAGTTTGGTGTTGGATCACCACTGACCAATGGGTCTCCTCTATCATCAAGGTGGCCTATGCTATTGAGTTCAAATACCTGACTTACATGGGCTTTTTTTTACTCCACCCAACCATCCTATTCTATACACTGGAGTTCTGATACTCTTATAGAAGGATGCCATTCAACCTGTCACTCCATATTTGCTCGACAAAAGCTACTATTCCTACTAATTCACTATCCCCAAGTAGGATGGTGGCCTCAGACACATCCCAGACCTTGAATGTCTGAATAGACATATCAATATCAGAAAATGTTGAATGGTAACACTGGAAATGGTTCTTCCCCTCCTCCATAGTGGGGACTGGCTTGCAGTCATAGACCTCAAAGATGGCAACTTTCACATTAGTATCAGACCTGATCACTGCCATTTCCTCTGTTTTGCAATAGGTCCAGCAGTCTAACAGTTTAAGGCACTTTCCTTTGGTCTTTCTGTGGCCCCCATGTCTTCACCAAATGCATGGCCCTGGTAGCAGCTGTCAAAGGCAGGGCATCATAGTCTTCCCTATATACAGTACGTAGATGAGTGTCTAGTGATCTCAAATGTGAAGAGCAACACCTGTGAACATGTCCTCCTAACACTTCTCAAGCACCTGGGGCTATGAGTCAACCTGGAAAAATCAGTCCTCAACCACTGTCAATGCACACAGTACACTGGTGTTCTTCTGGACTCCAATGCTGCCTGAGCATATTCCTCCTCCTGGTCGATGCCATAACATTGTGTTTCTGGTTCAGAAATGACTCTGCACATGCTCATCTTGGCTTACACAGAGCCTGGACTGATGCCAGAAAGTTGAATTCCCCTGTACTTCTTTGCCCTAGAAATCTCAATAGGGCAGAAAACAGAGTGGGGAAAACATGGCCTCACAGACAACAGGAGTGGAGGGGTAAGTGGTAGAATTATACTAGGCATCATGTGCCAGGAGGAAGAGTCAGCAATGCCCTTGGCAAAGGAAATGGTGAAACAAAACTTAACTCTGCCACTTCTACTAGGGCCCTTTCTTCCTCTATGGCTTCCCTTAATGGCATACCACTCCCTGACATCTGCAAAGCTGCAACTTCGTCACAGCTATCCACGTTGATAAAACATTACAGATTGGATATCTGTCATAAGTCAACTTCCACTTGTCAAAAACCTTTTAAAACTGATTTTTGATTTTTAAACGTTGCTGTAAAGTTTGCTTCCTTTTGCTTTTCATTTTAAAAACTAATTACAGGCTGATTGATCTAGTCACAATACAAATGCTCATGATTTGGGAGCTGATTTCTCAGTGTTTACTCAAGGTCTATTCAGTCCATTCTCCAGATAAATCAGGCAAACACATGTTACATTATACTTCAAATCTTCATTACATTTTTGGGAAAGATGTCTTCCCAATCACTAGTGTTAACAGTTTGATTAGTGGAACAATGAGGCATCCTAGCAACATAAGGGCTTCCTTGAAGTCATCACTGTTACGTCTACAGAATCTACCCTGTATGTATGTTCATGCATGAAGGATAAGACTCATAAGAGGAAGGGGGGGCTAATGCTGAGCCCTAGCAAACAGTAGTTCCCAGAGGAGTGATCTTTGTCACCTGTCACCTCCCAGTGACAGTTAATTAAACTTTGGCAATAACTCAGGAAACACCACGTGCAAAACTTTTGCATTTTTTATGTTTCCCACCCAAAGAATTGAAGGAAAGCAGAAATCGGGGATTAGGGCCCCTATATTTAGGTATACAATCAGTAAGCCAAATCAGCATATTATTCCAATTTCCCTTTCTCTCATTCTAATTATTTGCACAAATATGGCATTTTGGTTATATCTTCAGCAGAAGAAAGACCATCCTGCTTCCTCTTCTCATAGGACTTTCTTTGGAATCTCCCTTCGTCCACAGAGTGCTGCCTCTAAAAAAACAGGGCTGCTTTCAAAAGAGGGAACTTATCACCACCACTGGGGTATCCACACATGAAACCAGAGGTAACATTTTACCAGTGAAATACACAGCTTGAACAAATTCGTCTTCTGGAGAACAGTTCCCAAGAATCCTTCATCCAATATTACTTCTGAAAAGTAACTTTTCCTAGCTC